GAGAGGAGAGGGGTGGATGGTGTCGCATGTGTCTCCCTCCTGGAGAGGTGAAGAGAGGTGGAAGAGAAGAGAGGGAAGGAGAGGATGAAGTCGTATGCATGTGGTTGCCGCGAGAGAGGTGAGGAGAGGGTGGGTGAGAGGGTGGGAGAGACACATGCGTTGTGGTTGTGTAGTGCCCTGTTATGAGACGCCCTGTTGTGAGATGATTAAAAAAACTAGACGTACGCGGAATGCAGGTAGCAGAGCCGTCAGGGCGAGCAGTGGAGGTGTAGTTGGCAGGGCACGTGCAGTTGTAGCCGCCCACACCATCGTCCACACATGTGCCGGCGCCACAGGGGTTCTGCATCAGCAGCATGCACACCGTCTCTGGTGGAGGGAGAAGGGGGCGAGGGAGAAGGGGGCGAGGGAGAAGGGGGCGAGGGAGAAGGGGGCGAGGGAGAAGGGGGCGAGGGAGAAGGGGGCGAGGGAGAAGGGGGCGAGGGAGAAGGGAGAGAGGCAGAAACAAAGGGAGAAGGGTTAGAGGTCTGTCCGAATAAGAGGTCAGGAGGTGTGAACGCCATTTTCAACTCAGAACACACGCACATGACTAACCATACACAGTGCATGCATACACCGTTTTCAAGGCACCCTGCACCATGAAGCACGCGGCACGAGGCACCATAATCAAGTGTCAGCACCACAATCAGCACGCGGCACGAGGCACTTACTGACAATGCACGTGTCGGTGCCGTCCACGTTGACAGCGGGGATGAGGAAGGGCTCCACCGTGCAGTCGCACGAGTAGAACTGCTTCGGCTTCTCCCCCGGCTTGGGCGGCAGCGGCGGGTCCAAGCACTTGCCTGCGCCACAGGGGAAGCCCAGACACCACTTGCCGGGGACGGCTGAGGCGGGGGAGGGGTGGAAGAGGGAGAGTGGAGAAGAGGGGGGCATGTGCGTTGAAGACAAGAGAAATCACGTTGCAGCACTTGCCAGTCCTGCACGGGGAGCCGGTGCTTTGAGAGGCATACCGGGAAAGAAAATACGGGGTAGTAACCCTAGCACTCACCAGGCAGCATGGGGTAGTAACCCGGTTCGCTCCACATGCCGCAGTAGCCAAAGGGAGAGCGGTCAAAGCCGATGCGCATGTGGCCGTTGTCGCCCCACGTGGTGCCCCAGCTGTTGCGCAGAATGAAGTAGCTCCCCGGCTGCCCTTGCTCCTCCAGGTGATACCCCACCAGCACCACCACATGGTTCACCATGCGGTTGGCAAAACACGTCTTATCCGTCAGGATGTTCGTCTGGCGAGAAAGGGGAGTGAGGAGGGGAAAGAAGGGTGAGGGAAGGGTGGGGAGGAGAGGGAAGCGGAGGAGAATGGGGAAGTTGTTAGTAGGCTAGAGAAGCCTTGCAAACTCGAAAATGGTCTTAATCCGCGTCCCCGAACACCACACCATGAGAATCACGTAAAGCAGCCTCTGGCACTGCACTCCACCGCATCCAACCGCATGCCAGCCCACCCCGCCCCTCTCCACCGCTTTGCATCTCACCCACCTCGTTGTAATCAAGGAAGCAGTCTTGGTCGGCCTCGACGTGCACGACGGGCGGCTGGAATTGCAGCGCCAGTAGGTGCACAAGCACACAACAACCCACCCCACCGTTTCCCACCACTTCCGATCGCATTCCACCGCATCCAACTCACCCCGTTTTAGCTGAGGAAGCAGTCCTGGTCGGCCTCGACATGCAGAACCACGGGCTGGAACTGCAGTGTCAGGATGAGCACAAGCATGCAACAACCCACACCACCCCTCTCCACCGCATCCCACTCACCCCATTGTAGTTGAGGAAGCAGTCTTGGTCAGCCTCCACGTGCACGACCACGGGTTGGAACTGCAGCGCCAACATGAGCCCAATGGGCCCCAGCAGACTCGCCCGCTCGTAGAACCTCACGTTCGCCACCCCTGGGTTTGTCTGGATCTGAGTGTGGGGAGCGGAGGGGAGAGGTAGGGATGGGTAGGGTAGGCGGATGAGGGGGGGTGGGAGGAACCGGCTCAACAGACTCGCCCGCTTGTGAAACTGCACCAACGCCATCGCCACGCCGTGGTTAGGTTGTGTGAAGGGTGGGAGGAGCAAAGTGAAGACCGAGGAAAACCAAAAAGACATAGAAAAAAAAAAAAATCTTTGCTGAATTAGGCGGACCTTGGCTCAAATGAAGGATGAAAAGGAAGAGTGAAACAATAAAAACAAAATGAAGAATGTATAGAAAACTAGTGACTGACTTACAATGGTCTTGTTACATATCGTGCTGTCATTTGCCATGTAGGGATACACCGCAGCGGACACAAGCGGATTCGCGATGGCGTATTCAAATGCGTCCGTCGTGAACCCGCCGTCGCAGTCGTCCGTGCCACACGTCAGCAGCTGCTGCACCGACACGCGGTTCGGCGGCTGGATGCGATAACCCAGCAATGCGCCGTCAATCGCCGACGCTGCTGCGAACGCCCAGCATGAACCTGATTGGGGAAGGGGGAAGGGGAAAGGGGAAAGGGGACGGGGTGGGAAGAGGATGTTCGAGGGGGGATGAGCGGGAGCGGGATGGGGATGGTGATGGGGAGAAGGGCGGTGAGGCGGGGACTAGGAAGCTAACAAGCAGGAAGGCAAGGAGTTTCGGCTCATGCCTGTTACGACCACGACGCGCTACCGAGGCGAGCAGTAGCATTCGTTGCAACCAACACAGCCACCTATTGCACACACACCAACACAAGCACTCACTGCAGAGGCTGGGCGAGTCCTGATCCACGACAGGGTGTTTTTGAGAATTCTCACACAGCAACCAACACAGCCACCTGTCGTTGCACGCACACGCACACCAACACAAGCACTCACTGCAGAGGCTGGGCGAGTCTTGATCCACGACAGCCGACAGGTTGGCGCGCCAGTCGACGTTGCTGTGTTCCCGCAGCGCCCACTTGGCCGTGTTGTTGCTGCTCTCTATGCGCAGCGACACGGACGCGTAGTGGAACCACCGATTCTGCTTCGGCCGCGAGTCGTTGCGCGGGATGGGCAGCCCTCCCAGCGAGCGATCTCCGATGCGCGCTGAGGTGGGGGGGAGTGGGAAGGGGGGGACGGGAGGGGGCGGGGCGGGGCGGGGCGGGGACCACAAGGGGATTTGCAAGGCGATGCGTGAGCATGTGGAAGGCAGGAGGAAGGAAACAAGAGACAGTGCAGTAGCGAGGCGCAGGCGCAGCCGTAGCGAGGCGCAGCCGCAGCGAGGCGCAGCTGTAGCGAGGCGCAGCTGTAGCGAATCGCAGTTCATGCGTTCCGCATCCTAGGGAAACGGACAGCGCCTTACGCACGAATCGCTTTTCATGGCTGTATGTGGTTTCGACCGCAACTCACTGGGGAAGTAGTTCGGCGGGTCGGTCGGATCGCCAGAGGTCTGTCCCGCTCCCCCTCCTTCACCACCGGGAGAAGTGACATTCCCGCCACTACCGCCAACGCCGCCGCCATTAGGATCACCGGACCCAGCTTCCCCGTCCCCGCCCTCTCCGCTTCCCCCCTCTCCTCCTCCACTCGAGGTCTGCGCGGGGGCAGCGCTGGCGGTGACGTCGAAGCCGAGGAGCGTGTGCGCGGAGTAGTACTTTGCGCCCGTGCTCGCGCTGAACCCGATGTACAGCGGCGTGTCGCCGTCAGAATTGTTAGCCGGCGCTGGAAAAAGCGCACACGGGTCGAAGCTTGTAATGAAGGTGTTCTTAGCGGGGCGACTCTTGGCAGTGCTGAGGAAGACGGAGAGTTGCTTCGTGGCGGGGGTGTAGTCGATCCAGACGTATTTGATTTTCGCGTCTTTGAGCGCGGGGATGGCTGCCTTGCTGGCGGTCACTGATTTGACGGACGCGTTTAGGTTGAATCCGATGTGCGGCGCGGCCTTGTCCCAAGTGTCCCTGAAAAAAAAAATCACGGAAGAAAAGGGAGGTTATGGAAAAAAAAACCAAGAACGAGGAAATATAATTTCCTTTCGTGCACCCACTTGAAGGACGCCGCATCAAAACTGCTTTCAGCAAAGCGCTGCACTTACTTAAATGTGTCGAACTCCACCGCGAAGCTCGGCGAGTCGCCCGTCTCGCCCCACCCGAGGAACCCACTGTCGCTGCCCGCCTCCCACGCCGCGTTCGCCGTCACGAAGAACGTCACCCCTTGCCCCGCCTTCGACGCGCCGTTCTTCGCGGACGCTACCGCGAACGCGAACGACGCCGAAAACGCCAGCGGCGCGCAGCCGCTGCCGGTGGAGGAGGCGCGGTCGGTGAGGACGATGGCGGAGGGGTTGAGCGCTCCGCCCGCCAGCAGCGCGGCGTCGCTGGTGAGGGTGACGGCGGGACAGGCCTTGTAGGTCGCACTGAGCGCATCGCCGGAGAGCGCGAAGTTGGAGAGGGACTCCGCGAACGAGCAGTCTGCGGCGCCGCGAGGGAATGTGCGGGGAGGAGGGGGGGGGAGCAGAAGAAGAGGGGGGAAAACGAGGGGGAAACGAGGAAAGGGGAGGACGGGGAGGGAAATCGGAAACTGCAGTTTTGATACGACTCTGGCTGCGTAGGGCGTTTAGGTTAGCTTGAGCGACGGATGGAAAGGGACACGCGCGGCGCGAGGGAGAGAGGAGAAGGGAGACGTGGTGAGGAGATCGCTAGTGACTGCTGACACCAACGACGGAGAGCCTGACGCCGACGGTGGAGTACGTTGAGATTCCTACCGTTACTAATAGCGGTCAGCTTCAGACTTAAACAGACAGCCGGCAAGCCCGCAGTGCACAAACTATAGGAGGCTCTGGGACTTGTGATAACACGTGCCCTTTGACGTTTGGGTCCAGCGGCGGACCTGCGAGAGCAGCGATGCCGCGCATTCTGGACCGCAATGCGCAATTCCCAGCACACGCGCGGCGCGTTTGTTTTACCGACCCTGCGCATTTGCGATTTTCGTCCTGCCTCTGCCCGTGACTCTCCTTTGCAATCAAGTGGTGCGGAAAAGTATCCACTAACCAGGTGGTGGGGGAGGAGGCGGGGACGGCGGGGGAGGCGGGGGCGGCGCGGACGGGGGCGGCGAACGAGGAGTTTTCTTCGATTTTCTCCCCGCAGATGCGCCGTGCAACGCGGATATGCACAGGAGAGCCAGAGGTAGTAGCAAAGCTAGCCGCATATTCTGGCGACGCGAAGGTCTCCGTTGCTGCGACGCGCCCCTCCGCCGCCATTGCGACGAAACACGAACGCCAGTCGAGGCGTCGTGTAAGCCGCCACATTGGTTTGGATGTAACATGCTGGCTGTTGTGTCGTCGGATGCGCGACGGCTTGCAGTCCACACAATCCAAGGAACTGACGAAAGAGACTCGCGAGTTGGAGGGGCCTCCTTGGCGACGCCGTGCAAGCAGGCGGAAATGGTGCAGCACTAGCGACAGTCCGCTTCCGTTTCGAGCACGCTGATTCTGACAAGGGACTCCAGGGCGTCGATATGAGGGGCGACCGACGATGAAGTGAGGAGGATGCGGTTGCGAAGCGAAGCCCCCAAGCCAGCCAACCAACACTGACGAGAGTGGTGGCGAAGTTACCCACTTTCGGGTGCGATAGGAAGAAAAACGAAGGCGGTGTTCGCCAGCACTTTTGAAAACGAAAACGACGGGATCTGGAAGGTCAGTCACGCCTTCCTGATCCCGTCAGTTAGGGTTCGTTAAGCTCCGTCAGCCTGGTCAGCCCGTAAAATTCGTGCCGAAGCTAGGATGTCGTCCGAGCCTAAAGCAATCTGCGGTGCCTGGCGAACGCTCTCATTTTTCTCAATTTTCGGAAGGAAACATGGCATTCGGAAATGGGGACGCGACTTCCTCCCCAGGCAAACGTCCCGTCTCATGCCATTCCGTGGCAATCCACCATTTCACGTGGACCGCCGTGGTTTGGCGATGTAATTGGCTGTCGGAGGAAGGTGGGGTGTGGGGTTCCATATGCGGTTGTGAAGTTTCTCATGTCGGGGCTGGAAAGTTCGCGGGTGGCATTTCGCCCAAACCTTTTCGGAGGGTTCCGACCCCGCTTCCTGATGCCGTTGCCAGTCCAATGCCTTCCATTTTCTTCCAATCTCAAAGGTGCTGGCGAACACCGCCGAAGACTTGCCTGTTCAAGAGGAAAAGGCTTCAGGGCTGGACCACGTGGGGAAAGGGAGGGAGCAGGAACGAGGAGGAAGGAGCATGAATGGTCTGTGGGACATGGTTCTGCAATTCGCACGAGGGGAGGTTAGACCTGGTGAATCGGACAAATGCCCTTTTATCTGTTCTGGTGAGATCCCGGTACAGTACAACTCCACGACACAAATTGGACACAAGGTCTGCCCCATGGATATTTCTGGTTTCTGCCATATTCTGCCCTTAAGCAGCAATCGGAGCTTCTCAAATCGGTCCAGCGGCATCTCCGCTCCACCTGAGGCGGATTCACTGGCGCAGGTTCTGATGGCTTCACCAAGCTCGACAGGCAAGTTTCCTGCTTTTTCCTGATTTTAAACCTCCACACACCCCTCACAACAAAAATAATGAGCTCTCTACAGTTCTCCCAGTTGAAGTTTGTTCTTTGTTTGAAATTCATGTTTCACATTCTCAAAATTCATTTTTGATTTGATCGAACTCATATGTCCCGGGCGGCCCAGGGAATGGCCCGAGGCGCAGGAGCTTGTTGGCTTTGCTGGGATCAGGGTGGCCGTCAACCACGCCGCGCCTCCCCCGTCCGTCCCCATCAACTGAAATCTGTTGAGCGCGAATCGTCGCACGCAGATGCTGGTGGTAGGGAGGGATTGGCCCAACTTTCACTCCACTTCAGCCTGTTGCCAAGAGTGCTGCCGCGGAAAATCCACCTGAATGAACCAGGGTCAGGTCAGCACGCACGACCCATCAAGCCAAGGTAGCCCTTCAATAAAAAACTGATTTGACGGGCATAAAATTGTTCCATCATCTGTAAAAGGATCTTCCTTCGGGGCGTAAATCCAACGGTTGCAATGCAAAAAATGTCAAGCAAGGACGTGGTACAGATCAGGGAGATCTGAGGCTGATTGCCTCGATCCCGCAATCCACAATTTCCAAGAAAGTCCAAAACGTACTTTTCAGCAATCGGGGGCAATCTGTCAATCGCATTTGAGATCGTGAACGATTGCGATCGATTGCCTGATCTGATGCAATCGATTGCAACCGATCACGATCGACAGGTTTGGCGAATGGCGAACGTGCGCGATTTGTAACCATTGTCGCTAGAGTTTCGCTTTTGCTCGCTGCTACATAGACATCTCGCGACAGTCGAACCTTCCAGGCTGAGCCTCTGGACCAATCAACGCAGCCCCAATGAAAATGAATATAACACGCGTAATGGGGCAACACTGTAATTTCGGCATACAGATGTACTCAATTGGTTTCGCCAAACTTGAGCTGGAAAGTACATACTACTAGCCTGGAAGGCGCAGTTGATGTTCCGTCGCGTCGGATCGGGGCGATCACACCCAGTCGCTCGCAATCTGATCCAATCAACTATGATTGCTTGAGATCGAAACAAACTGTACCACGTCCTAAACAGCTTTCGCAGGGGTACTACTTAGCGACCCTGCGCTTTCAAGGGGACTACAGTGCTATATGCGGGCAATTTCCGCCACTCCGCCACTCCGACAGGAACATTATGGCAACAACACAGAACTGGGTCCCACATTCACCCACGTGTCACAAATTTCGCAAGCCACTGGAAAAAATATCCCATTACCTGACCCAAAAAACTAAAACCCAATCGGGAAAGGATGCGTCTCGGGGAGGCATCAACCCTAAAAAAATGTGGGTTCCCGTGTTCATGGTTGATCCCTCCCGAAAATGAGCCCAGGTTCCCTCTGGGTTTTTTTTCGTTGCGAAGCAACCCTTTAAGATCTATTTAGCCAAATTTTATTTTCATATTTATATTTTTTACAAAATCATGAAAAATAAAATTTGTCAACTACAGTAATACCCTTCCCATACTGTATGCATGTTGAGCAATTTTGAATATGGTACTCTTCATGGTGCATTAAACCATATGATTTTTTTTCCAATTGTTTAGTGTAGATTTGTTGTACTGCTTATATTATATATTATTTTTAGATGATGTTGTGTAATGATAAAGAGATGAATGCGTGATGCATAAATGATGCTATACAATACATAATGCATAGAATGATGCTATATAATGCATGTGATATGTCCTGAATGATGCACATGCACATGATAAAGTGCATGACAATTAACCAAAAAACTAAGCTACCGCCATCCCCTGCCTAGCATGGGGGGGAGGTCAATAGCTTAGCTTTTGAATAATCAACTACCGCATGAAACAACACAATCTGTGAAGTCTACAAACGAGATCAACCTACCAAATCCAGTTCAAGTGAGCGTACCCGTTCGAGTGTAACTCAATGAACATTTGGGAAATGATATAACTGATTCTCATTTCTAAAAACCACAGGTACAGACATGCATTGTTGATGAAATAACAGATGGATAATGATATGGTAGATGAATGCCACACACATACGGACACATACGCATGCAATCAGACGGACACACGCACGCACAGAAGCTCGGAACAAGCCAATGCAAAAAGAACTTACGAAGGAAGAAAAAAAAAACACAGAAGATGCAAAAGATCACTACCAAGCAATACAACACAATTAGACCTAATCGCCACAAATGTGATCGTTCCTCCTTTAAATAGGACCTTCAATTCCCGAATGGTACAGCAAAGCCTCTGAAAAGTAGGAAATAGGGAAACGTAAGGGGGGAAATGGGAAATAGAAGTTGAGGGGATATAGATGGCGACTTTGAAAAAAAAAAACCACAAGCTGGCTTTCTGAACACAAATAGCGGGGATTTGGAGTAAACGGAAAAGAGGAAAGAGAAAAAAAGTAAGAAGAAAAGTCCAAAGAGCTCCACGTAGGTAAGAATGGTAAAGTACAGAACAAAGGAAATAAGAATGATCATCGAAAGAAGGGGAGAGGAATAAAAATGCTGAGAGGGAGAAGATACCTCATATTCAAAATGCTAAAAGTGTTTCTCCACTAAAATGAAAGGGAACGAGCGAAATGCTTATGAACCTTGAAAACATGAAATACTAAAATCTTTACAGCTTGCACCACAAAAAAACGACTAGAAAACGAGAATAAGAAATGTTAGCCTAGATCGTACTCATCTAACATAGTTCTAGTTAATAAGTTAGCATTGATCTTACCTTGATGTGGTAGGTGGAGCGTAATCAGCGGGGCATTGTAAGCTCAACTAGCGAGAGGAAGGGAGAGAGAAAAAAAGGATGATCAAACCCTAAGGCAAAGCAAACGGAAAAAATGAATGAAGAATGCAAAACGAACGGAAGAGGGACACAATATATTAATGCAAGAATAGACACTAATCCGAAGCACGAATACAACAAACAGAGAGAAATGAAAGGGAGCGGAATGAAATGTAAGATACAAAAACGAACGAGGAAAAAGAGATGTCTTCAAGGAAAGTAAAGAAGGAAGAATTGGAAAAAATGAACAACTCGCCTAGCAAAGAGTAGATGGCGTATAGCCAGGAAGCGAACTGAAGGAGGACGCCTAAGAAAGAAAGGAATGAGCAAATCTGTTTACATTGAATGCATTGAGAATGAAATGTGAAGAGTAATGGAGACGGAAATGTGAAGAGCATACGGTAGTTTCCAGAGATTAAGACAAGGCGAAAATCATTGATACGGTAGCAAGAAGTGAGGAGCACGCACTAGTTAAGAACAAACTAGCTGCTTAGTCGAAATGACATCAATCCTTGAAAAACGATCTAGCTTTAGAACGGTCAAGGATACGAGATTAGGGTTTGTCGTCAGAACATTATAGCTTATGCTTTTGTGTAGACTATAGTGGGGTATCCCATAGGGGGTACAACCCAATTAGGGTTAGTACTTGTACCCACTTCACTCATAGTTCATTCATTCTCGTTCTATTCTTCTTATGGTATAGAGCAGGTTCCCCTGTGGGAACTGTGCTTAGGGCCCACCACTACGAACTTTTTTTCCTGCCCGGAGCGCGCTCCGGGCTCTCTCTCTCGATCTGTCGACCTACCCTACGGCTCCTAGACGCCCGCGCGCCGCCCTCAGACGCCCGCGCGCCGCCTGTCCCGGCCCTTCGACGCCCGCGCGCCGCCCTTAGCCGCCCGCGCGCCGCCAGTCTCGGCCCCTAGACGCCCGCGCGCCGCCCGACCAGGCCCCACGCCGCCCGCGCGCCGCCCTT